GACAGAAGCACGATCCTTTCCTTCTCCCTCTGCTCGAGAATCATCCTCGATCTTAATGGCGAGTTCAGAGATTATGTAAATAGCGATTCTCCAGCGGTGATGGAAGAATCGTGAGAGTTTGAAGAATAGAGAATCGGGAGGGTTCAACTACAGAAATCCCAATCGGTCGGATTTTAATTGAATGAGAGTTTCGGCGGGGGAAGAAGAGAGATGGAGAGAGAAAATAAAAATTATTTATTTATTTATTTATTTTTAGTTTCCACCTCACATTTTTAATTGATTAACGGTCGCCAACTCAGCAATGTCGTTAGTACAGTCAGCCCGTTACTTGACACCGCCAAAGAATAGGACAAAATTGGCTATTTTTTGTATTTTGCCAAAAGTGGCTATATTTGGCAAAACCGTTAAAGTTTTGCCTACACAAGTGTATTTTGCCTTATTTTTGGGTCAAAATTCAAACTGTCAATCTTTCAAATATCATGTTCTCGCTCAACGCAAAGCTATAGTGAACTGGCTTATACTAGTGTGTATATATATAGACTAGCTTATTACCCGGCCCGTTGGCCGGATTACTGTATGTTACCCACTTGTGGAATGGGAGAGAAAGCAAGTGAGAGTGAAGGGATTGTGATTCCACTTGATTAGGACCGACCCACTAATCCAATTCTTCTCGACCCGCCCCAACCTACAGGGTCAGAAAGAGTTAATAAGAAAATACGAACGGGGAGGATTAGTCATATATCTTGACTCTTCAGAAGTGGGTCAAACAGGATCAAGGTTGGGTGAGGGCAATTTTTAGCGCTAAGCAGAGTTCTGGGTTGAATACCTTTACTTAGGCCTAGAAATTGGTGCTGATGCAGACTGCAGTTTTTATTATACCATCATCAATCATCATTGAATTAGTCCTGGGCATCCCTCCCCGTTGTCGGTCTGAATTCTAATGATGACTTCATTCCTTGCACCAGCCATATCAGCGAGTTGCCATCTCGAGCATGATTTGCCTATGTACAAATAATACAATTAGAGTATGAAAATGAATTCAATGAAAAGGAAAAGAGAATTCTATCACATGCCAATAAATACACACATAATAGTTGAAGCTAAGTGAAAGTCATTACTCGCACATCAATTCTAAAAAATTACAGACTAAACATTGGCTAGAATGGCACTGAAACTACCAAGAATCATGGACGAAACAACTTGTCAAATTAAATAATCCTTATACTGAAACTACCTTCTAACTTGAAATAAGACATGATCACTGTTCATAGCTCTCTTCTCACTATGAATTGGTTGCAGCTCGTCCTTATCACTGCCTCTCAAGCTCAATTCAAACAGAATAGAGACCGTTATGTAAGATAGCCATATTCTTACTGATCATAATTCCTTTCTTCACTCCATTTTTGTCGGAGAAAAGAGTTATCCCCCTCCCCTGCATTTCCCTTTCCCCCTCTCTTCTCCCTCTTCTTCACAAACCGATCCCTAAACCAGCAACAACAACACAAAAATAGCCTTCGCCTCTCCCGTCTCCATCTATTGAACGCGTTGGTGGCAAGACAGGACTGCAGAAGCAAAATTTTCTAAAATCAAACTAAATTTTTTGAAGCAGACTCAACCACGAAAAAAGAGTAAAGCAAGAATGCAGTAGAACCCTAAATTTAACTACAATCAAGCACATATCAGCAAGATTTTCGATTTTTCTGAGAGTTAACTACACGGAGAGAACAATTGATGCATAATTGAAATGCTCCAAGCAAGTTGAAGGCAAACCATAACTTTAGAATTTGGTCATTATAATAACCTTCAAGTATTGATGCTTCTAAGAACTATCATGTCCAACCCCCACTTATACAACTACGTAGCCATAGTAATTAGATGTATAATGAGAAATATTACAAAGAAAACTACATAAACAACCAATGTAAGTAAATATTAAAACTAACAACTGATAAAACTTAAAATCTCTCTATTGGTATAAATGTATCTATTAGTAACTACTATGCAATCGAGTATATATGATTTTTAGGCACTGAATAAGAAAAGTATAGATGGCTCACAAATGAAGACGTAGCAACTGAAGGTAGCACACAAAAACCAAAAATAGAAAAAGAGATAAGAAAAAAGGCGAGAAAAAGTCAAACAAAGAAAAAGCCCACATAGGAATACCTCGCTAGCTTTAGGGACTCTCTGCCACAACAAACAACCTTCTTAAAAATCTAACACCCTGAGACATCAAACAACCCTCCCACGACACTAATGTATGGCATTCCTATTGTCCAATAGGTTTGCCCAATTTAGACTTCTAAATAAATGGACTTTTCACCGTTAAACCAAAACTCACAATCATTAACAGTTAATGCAAAGACATACATTTCTGAGGCCAATCACAGCATTTAAGCATAATTTTTAGTTGAAAAGAACAACTAAGTATTTAGCTAAATGATATAGTAGAATGGACACAATCTGCTACCTACTAATGATATAAACGTGTACCGGTACCATCGTTGTATCCTGACTTGCCATTTGCTACGGGCACTTTGAAAGACAGCTGCATTTTAGAGAATAAACACCCATAAGGGCGTTACGAAACCAAGCTTAATCCAAAATCTTCATATTCCACTTCGAAGACTCCATTTTCAAAAATAAGAGAGTTTAACATGTCAAATCACTCATTTGAAAAATCTCAAACAACTATTAATCAATGCAATATAATGGCACGTTCCAAATTATGTACTTGTAGGAATAATCCCAAATAATTATCAATTAATGCCCCAACTACCTAATGTGCAGAATAGCCCTGGAGCTGTGCTGTTGTTTGCGTTGGTCTACCTTCAAACATAACATAGTTGCATCACGAACCAAAGCAATTAAGCAAAAATCTTCATATTCCAAGTAGAATGACTCAATTCAATTTGGACAACGCTTTATACATATTGTTTACCCCTGGACCTGTTGCACTTGCGCCTTCAGATCTTCGTGAACACAATACAATTGCGGAGAGGAGGCTGTCAACGGAATAAAAATTGTTAATTGAGTGAATCACCATACAACTAAACAAACGTGCTCTTCTTGATTAGCTATCAAAATAGTGGGGGTCGCTACAATCCATCGGTTGCTCCCTCTGCGCCTAAGTTGTAGATATTAGGTTTCAGTGAGAACTTTGAGTACATGAGGAGATATTTTGTAGTGGAGGAGATGACCCGGCGAGTAGAATAGGAAGATTTGGAGAGGCTGCGATGGGCAAAGCAGTTAAAATCGAGATTTTACCTAAAATCGAAAACTGGGGTAAAATCAAAATCGTATAATCGAATCGTAAAATCGTAGGATTTTAAGTACCATATAGAACATAGCATATAAGAATATTAATAAGGTAAATTATTAATATCACAAAGACACATAGCATTTAAAATGATAATTTAGAAGATTTTTTTCCATAAGATAATTCTCAAGATTAATGTTCCAAAATCACTATTTTAATTGTTATTTAATGTGTAACTCAAAATAATTCATGATGAAGGGATATAGTTCATGGGTTTGGCTCTTATTTTCATGTTATGTCTAGGTTGTTTAACTCAAAGTAATATTTCGACATCGTCTACTAAGTATGATTTAAAACTAAAAATAATTGAACTCCAATAAAATAAGTAATGTTAGTGGCTTGGTACAAATATATTCATTAATAAATTAATTAGTTAATAATGATGTTAGTTCTTACATACTTCCAATATTAGGACAGGTGTTTTACCAATAAGTTAAATGGGGTGAAGGGAAAGAGATTAACCGAACCCTAATTTGGTTATTTTTATTATTTTTAAATATTTTGCTAATAGAAAAATATCTTAGAAGATTCCATTGCCCTTTCCGCTGAAACAGTTATACTTATTTTAAATTGGCTCAAACCACCTATTTTGTTCTCTTACGATCAAAATCCCGATTTCGGTACTATTTTACGATTTTAACGATTTTAGTCCCGATTTTAAACGATTTTAAGGTCCACCGATTTTATAGTAAAATCAAGATCGGAATCCCTAAGTAAAATCCTAAAATCCTACGATTTTACGATCAAAATCCCGAATTTGACTGCATTGGCGATGAGTGCACGATTAGTGGGCCAAATAACAGTTTGGGCCCGTTTAAATGAAAACATATTTTTACTTTCGTGCTCAACAGACCGACCGCACTGGCATCTTCTAAATTTACCCCTAAAAAATTTCTCTGTACGCATCAAATTTGAAATGGAATCCCTCTTTTCTCATTTCACATTTCACATTTCACATTTATATGATGTGTAGATTGTGATGAGTGTAGATGTAGACCTGTCATTGTCCTACAAATTCATTAACACGCCAAAGAGTGGTGAAATGAGCCGCCCTATTAAACACAATCTTGTATAATGATCATTGGATCCAATCATGCCAGATTATGAAGAAGTTTAAAATGTAGCGGTTATCCCGACTAAAACATTAAAAGAACCAGTCTCATATAGTTTGCACAAAGATATAATTTCTTCATAGTAATTTTGAAAAATAATATTAATTTAAGAAGTCGATATTGCTTCTACATGTTTAATATTGCAATTCGATATGCAATATTCGAACCAGTGATATTTGGGCTGCAATTTTAGGGTTATTGTATATTTATAAAATAGATAGAAATTTAAATTAAGTATTAAACTACAACAAAAATAATCAAAGTATTAAAACACCAAATAAGTACTTACGGGAGATTCAGTGGCCAACTAATCGTTAAAAAAGTCATGTGATTTTCATAATTTAGGTTCGTGTATGTTTGAATTTAAATAGATACAATAAATATACTTAGTGTGATTGGTTATGATCCTTGCTTGCCTTTAAAGAGACCAAGGTTCAAATCCCAGTGCATGCCATTTTTTATGAATAAATAAATAAGAAAATAAGCAATTGTGAAGACCAAAATGTCCTTCCTATAATCATTCTCGTTGCAGGAAATTTGAAATGGAGCAACAGTTTTCATCATTCGGCTTTTATTTATTATCTAGATAGATGTTCGAATGCCGGTAGTTAATGATGATCACACGATGAATGCTCTTCGCACTTATAAATTTGAAATTAACTATTTTAAGTTTGAACCTCACAGCTACGAACTTAAAATCGCAAAACTAGAGTGAAATTACCATTTAACATAACTATCACCTTATTCAAACGTCTGGCATATTCTCGATTCAAAATACCCGTCGGTCATCAGTTTAGACAACGAATCCGCCATTAACCCTCACAACCTGCCCATTAATCCACTCCCCGTCGTCGGAAACCAAAAACCCCACAACCTTGCTCACGTCCCCAACCTCCCCGATCCTCCCAAACGGACAAGCCTCCGCAATCCGCTTCACCGCCTCCTCGCTCTTCCCCTCGAAAAACAGCTCCGTCGCCACCGGCCCCGGCGCCACACAATTCGCCGTCACGCCACTCCCCTTCAGCTCCTTCGCCACGATCCTCGTCATCGTCTCCACCGCCGCCTTCGAAGCTGCGTACGCGGCGTACCCCGGGGGCAGCATCCCCACGACGGACGTCGTCACCATCACGATCCGCCCTCCGCCGCCGCGGACGATTCGATTCGCCGCCTCCCTGCAGCAGAGGAACGCTCCCCTGGCGTTGATGCTGAAAGCTGCGTCCCAATCCTCCACTGCTGTGTCCGATAGGGTCGGGTACTTGGGGTCCATGATCCCGGCGCAGTTGACGAGGATGTGGGGCTTGGCGGCGAAGAATTGCTCCGATTGGTCAAACAGGTGATTGACCTGTGTTCAAAAAGGATGAGCCCCCCTTTCGTTAATTGGAAAAGAAATCGATTCAATCTGAGCACTGAGTTACGAGATTGCGTGATTAATCAGCTGAGTAAACAAACTGTTTGATCAGATTGATTGGATTAAGTTAAATACCTGATCTGGATCTGAGATGTCGGCTTTGATGGCGACGGCAGAGGCAGGAGAGGTGGAATCGAGGTGTGATGCGAGGAGGTCGGCTTGAGTTGAGTTGGAGGCGTAGTTGATCGTCACTCTCGCGCCGAGGGAGTGGAGATGGGTCGCAATTCCGCGGCCGATACCGCGGGAGCCGCCGGTGACGATGGCTACTCGGCCGGCGAGTGGGAGTTGGGGAATGGAAGAGGATGTTGATTGTGCTGCCATGAATGATGAGTTTGAGACCTGCCTGCAGAAGGGAAGAGGGGAAAATTGTGAGGATGTGATTTCGTGGCGGTTGTCGATTTATATGCGGGCGGGGAACTGGGAAAGGACGACCAGGTTGACTCGGCGAAAGGGTTAGCGAGCGTTGCGTTGCATCACCATATTCGTCACGGTTGTGAATTGTGATAATTCCGCCATTAAAATAAGCCAGCTACCCACAATAGCTCACATACTGAGTGACGCCAGCAGAAACTAGGAACTAGGAAGCGGGCGGTCAGCGGGGAGTTTTCACCTTTTCGTAGCTTCAAGTTACCGTCCGGCGAATTGATTCGATGATCAAGCAGTGGGCTTGAAGTTCTTTGGGCCATACCTAAAAGAAGATAGTAAGTAATACACAGCCGTGAGGCAAGTCTGTTAGGCCCAACGTCTGAAAGTTCATTCGGCGCGGGAATTTGAGTTTTGATCTTTTCGAACCCGCCGATTGAAAATGTTCAAGAAGTCAGCCAAACAGAAAGAGCGGGAAATAATTGTTGCCAATTTTGTGTCAGGAAGCATGTGACTTTTGATAAGCAGGAAGCATGTGACTTGGGCGAGGGAAAGTTGTATCGTTTCCGAGTGTCAAAACTACCCTTGGCTGTTTTCTTTTTATGTGAACCTTGTGGAATTCTATGAAAATCATGTTCCATTGTCCAGTATAGGGGTGGCAAACGGTTCGGTAAATCCGAACCAAACCGAATTAAATCGAACTGAAATCAAATTAATGTTATTCGGTTCGGAATTACGGAAGAAAAATATGGATAGTTCGAAAATCAGGGTTCTTTCAACTGAACCGAATTTCCGACCGAAAACCCGAAATACTATAATTGCAAGCTCCAAATGATGGATTTTTATGTTTGTAGTTGTTTTTAGACTTAAATATTTGAAATGTTTTAAGACTTATGTGTTGAAAAGTTTGGTTTTATCATTGATAATGCATATTGTTTGAACCTAACTGAGTGTAGGAGTGAGGTTCGAGTGAGAGTTTGGGTCAAGAAGAAACGCAAGTGCCCGGGTCGATCGGGGGGATAAGAATTAGAGAGTGGGTGAGAACGAGGATCAGAACTTTAGAAAGAGAAGTAGTTGCTATAGAGAGAGAATGGTGAGAAAATGTGATCCCCTCACCCACCGTAGTAAATGCCGTATTTATAGGCTTCGTTGTGGTGGGTGAGTGGTTGACTCAAGTGGGGATACAACGATGTGACTATTGGGATACAATGATGTGACCACTGACACACTAAGGATTTTAGGCCCTGTCCAGGCCATCCCTCTACCTAGGACGTGTCAGAGACCTGTCAATGGCCCTGATGTGACCACCTCCAGGGAAGGAAAGCCACGCTCCCCTTCTCCCTTGGCTTGGCTTACGCTATGCTCTCCCTCGGCGCTTGTAATTCCCCTCGCGCCTAAGCTCTTCGCGCCGAGACGTGGTTGACTACGATGAGGCGTGGCGCTTGGGGTCTTCGCGCTGCCATGTCGGGATCCATCCCGTCGCATCCTGTTCCTCGACGTGGCCAGGCCCGACTTGTCCTTTGGCGCGGCTAGGCCCGAGTCACATGCCCAACAATTGCCCCCCATCAGGTGGTGTTTTGTGAACACCTCCTGTTTGGATTTTTTCTTGACAGACTCGGGCCTGTGTGATCTCCGTGAGGCTGGTCTTTTGGGCTTATTCCGCTCGTTTACTCTGCTTGTCACCATCGGTTGGCTCCTGCGTGTGCTCGCGTTCGGGTTCGTCATCGCGCGCGAGTTTACTCTGCTTGTCACCATCGGCTGGCTCCTGCGTGTGCTCGCGTTCGGGTTCGTCATCGCGCGCGATATTATGAGCCGGCGACGCGTTTACTGACGGCGCACGCGTTATTGGGCTCTTCACCGCGCTTGTAGTAGGGCTTTATTCGCTGCGCGAGGCGTGACGTGCCTTTGCGGCGCACGAGGCACGAGGCGTGTTTTTCTTCCCCCGCGGGTATCTCGCGCGCTCACTGTTAGGCTTTGTTCGCTCGCGCGATACCCGGTGTTGCGCGAGGCGTGTTTTTCTTTCCTCGCGGGTATGTCCTGCCCCCCAGGCGGTGCGCGGCACTTGTGGCGTCGCCGACTAGTGCCTATGCTGGTAGGTATCCACGTGTCGCAGTGTGATTGGGCTAATTGGGCGGGGATTTTTTGAATTTCAAAAAGATTTGATGGGATCTTACGGTTACGGATCCCTATGTAGCTTTAACCTTTCGCATTCCGCTGGCCGACTTTGGCTCTTTGCTCTCCCCTTGACCGACTATAAATATAGGGTTGTTGTGGGGAGGGAGAGTTCACCTGTTTCTTTCGATTATCTCCTCTTTTTCCTTTCCCTGAGATTTCTCTCCTCCTTCTGCAACCTCAATTCTCTTCTGCTGTTGCTAAGGTCGAGTCAGTATCATGTCTGGCATCAACAACAACGAGGCTGAGGTCGTGCAAGGCGAAGAAGGTAATTTCTCCCCTCTCTCGCACAGTTCTTCTGACCGTTCCGGTGACGGGAACAATGGTTCTGATGATTGGAATGGCGGATGAAACACCCCGATCCTTTTAAACAACCGAAATAATCATGGCTCCGGAGCCGGTTAAAAACAAAGCTTAAAAACTTAAACATTCCCAAGAAAAACGTCAAATCCAATGCCCTAAACACGTGGGTAAAACTCAAATGCATAGTTAATAAACCTCAAACTTTGAACCTCCAGTTATACTCATTATCATAAACACAGCTGACTAAACAAACTATAACTCCTTGCTTAATGCTGGTGCGGCTGCTCGCCTTGCCTTGCTCCTCTCAAGCTCGCTGCTCTCCAACTCCTCTTAGTACTCTTCAAACTGGTGAGTGAGATGGGGTCAGTCTACGCCCTTACGTTCATTACTTTTAATACTTGAGTACTCTGCTTAAAACACTTACTTAAACTTATGGAATTGTTTGTACTTCCGCTTTTAAACTTTAACTCTTAAAAACGTATTATTTCTTCCTTTCTCTTATTGTGGGGCCCCTACCTCGACTTAGCTGGCGCCACTACTAGCCTTACTAACTTTCTTATTTCTTAAACATGACTACCCTCACAATGGGGTGCCCCTCAAATGGGTTTGACCACCGCGGAACGAATCACCATCCGGTGTCAAACTACGGCGTGACTACCGCGGAACGTATCACCATCCGGTAGCACACCTAAACCTAGGCAATGGAGACCGCGGAACTCATCACCGTCCGGCTCCAAGCCTGACCAACTACCGCGGAACGTATCACCATCCGGTAGTGATCGACTACCGCGGAACTTATCACCGTCCGGTAGGGATCCTTCTAGCTAGTGGCTAGCTAAGCGAGGTTAACTTATTCTTACTCGTGACTTTCTCTTGCTCTTATCACTTTAACTTAATCGTCAAACGAAACGTAAAAGCTTTAATTAAATACTCAAAGCTCATAAACATATCCTTCAAACTATGAATCAAAAGAACACACTTCATCACCCATAAACATAAGCAAGCATACAATTTCACATAAAACAACTTCTTAAACACGCAAGGCAAATACTTGAAAATACGTAAGGCGTAGAATTTACCCCCTTTACACTCACCTCAAATCCGTCGAAAACGACTCTGACTCCGCTCTAAAAATTCCATGACTTGCTTCCATTTAATTCTCCCTCATCCGACGTCCAAATTCGATTTCGTCGACACCGTGACGCTCCTGAGATCGCCCTCTACGCAACCATATCCATCTTTTGAAGTTTCGTCGAAGTTTATTTTTCCAGAATCCGGCGACACTCCGGCGACGTTCCGGCGAAGCTCCGACGAGGCATCTACAGACCTCCAAACGCAAATCCGACTCCATGGAACGATTTCTCATGTTCTCCCGATCAAAACCCAGTGCCCAGAATCCTTCCTTTCCTTCTCTTTCTATTCCTCACTTTCTCCCTTCAACTCGCCTCTGTTTTGCTTCCCGGAAACAGAGAGGGATCTTCCCTTTTCTTTTTTTTTTGAACGAACCCATCCCCTCGCCTTTTGCTTACGAGAAACCATTTCAATTAATCCCCATTAACCCATAATTAAAACCCCCAAATTAATTATTTCCGTTACATTCATTTTCCCGGCGAGCTTCGTTTCCGCTTCACCGCCGCTCTGCCTCCCTTCTGCGCCGTCCGACTTTGCCCAGAGGAGAGTGAATCTCTTCCTCTTCTGGGCCACAGCTCTTTTCCCCCCTCTCTCTTACTCGGGCCAAGCCCGCCTTTCTTTCTGCTCCTCTTCGCTTGGGCCTAAAGCCCACCTCTTCAATCCACTTCAGCGACCAACCACACAGCCCGCTTCCCTCTTTCCTTCCTTGCACTCGGGCCTCAAGCCCACCTTCCTCTCTCTTCACAACCACGTGCCTTCAGCCCTTCTTCTTTTCTTTCTTCCCTCTCTTCTCAACTCTCTTCCCCATGGGCTTAAGCCCAACTCCCTTCCTTTCTTCCTCCCTTGGCCGCCCCTCCTTCTACAACTCAAACCCGCTCCAAACCAAAAACCTCAATCACAACCCGGCCCAACCAACATGCTTCACACATCCCATGTCCTTGAACCCAATCAAAGTCCGCAACTTCCTCGTTTTAAATCGAAATTCAACACCGTTCGAACCGGTAGTTCACATTTTTAATCCTCCTCGATATTACGGTGAAACTTGAAAAATATATCCAAGGGTAAAATAGTCATTTTGACCTTTAGAAAGAGCGGGGTGTAACAGCGGATCTGACGGCGGAGACGGCGGTGGTGACGGTGGGATTCCGGCGACGCCATCGTTCGAGGCTAGGTCAGGCGATGGGGCCGGGAGCTCCTCTGATGTGGGTGTAACCGCCTCCGGGAGTGGGGAGGCGGCGCGGCCAGCTCGGGGGGTTCTGATCATCCGGCGTACTCAGGATGGTGGGCCGGACGTCGACGATGGAGGTGCCAACGACGAAGTCGCCGCCGATGAAGTCGCTGATGACGATGAAGTCACCGACGAGATGGCCGACGAGATGGCGCAGGGGGGCTTTAGTGGGCAGTTCGCGCCTCGTGCCGTTGAGCGCGTGACGGAGGCCATGGCCCGCCTGGGGATGCAAGGCGTCGGCGCTTCCTATCGGGTGATTGAGTGGGCCGAGATGTGGGGTGATCAGCCGGCGCTGTCGGACAACCTCAAGCGCGGGCCCGAGCATTCCTCTACATATGACGTTGACGATGTGGAGGAGTTGGTTCGCGGGTTGGGTTTGCCCCCCAATTGGGAATACGCCGCCCCGTCGGTGCGCAGCATGGTGGGCAATTGCCCCCCGGGGTGGTTCGGCGTCTACGCGGAGTACTGGGTGATGGGGTTCAAGTT